CACCCCTGGATTTACTTGGTTTGGCCCACGCCAAACGCCCTGTGCCCCTCAACCCAAAAAAAGACTGAATTTTCTATTGGCTCGCGGGGACCCATGGGAAAGGTGTATGTGGTCAGTCAGGGGGACTATATCTATGTCAGATCACTACCCAGTTCTGACGGAGGTACTATCTAAGGAAATAGTGGCTCAGGACAAACCCCCAATCAGATTAAATACCAAGTTACTAAAAGACCCGGGGATACCACAATGTGTTAAGGACCAGATGAAAGTCTGGGATCTAGCAAAGAAAAAGGATCTCTTCACTAACTATGAGGACTGGGTGGATGTGGGCCTGAGCATTTTCCAGTCTGCAATGATTGAGTTCTCCATAATAGAAGCAGCAGCACGCAACCGGAAACAAAAACAGCTCATTCAGACAATAGAACTAGCAGAAAGAAAAATGGATATAGAGCCGTTTGAGGAGTATTATTGGGGTGGAAAAAGGAAGAAAGCACTAGAAGAGTTGGAAGCATTGGAAATCCAAAAGCAAGCAGACTAGCTTGACGGGCTAAAAATCAGGGGAATCTGTGGTTTTGATCGAATGACTAAAGAGACTTTTAGGGTGTTAATTCTACACAAAGCGAAACCAATTATGAGAGAACTCCAGCACCCCTTTGATCTGATTGCCCCTATAGCCACATATACTCAAGACCTCTGCTCCTATGCGATGTAATATTTCCAAGACATAATCTCCACTAGAAGACCATTCGATAATTTTGACTCTGACTTATCCCACTATTCAGATTTTTGGAATAATTCAGTCCGTAGTATTCCTAGGCAAGCTAGTCTATAATTAGATGCACCGATTAATAAAGAAGAGGTTTTTCAGGCCGCACGTCAGATGGCTAAGGGCAAATGCCCAGGGCCTGATGGACTCCCTATAGAGTTCTTCTTGTCCGTTTGGGAGGCATTCGACCAGTTCTTCACTGGTATATTTAACGAAGCTCTTTCCTCTGGAACCCTCCCAAAAGGAATGGTCCAAGGAATGATTTCCCTTTTATATAAAAAGAGCGATAAATGGGAAATCTGAAACTGGCGTCCAATCTCAGTGCTTAACGTCTCTTACAAGCTGCTAGCGAAAGTGTTGGCTCTGAGATTGACCACGATTTCCCCTCGACTGATAGGGCTCGAGCAAGGATCCTTTGTCAAAGGCCGTTCTATCTTCGACAACATACTGGCTACAGTCCAGGCCTTAGAAATAATTGGGAAGGAAAAACGTAAGGTAGCCATCCTAATGTTGGATATGGAAAAATAGTACGACAAGGTAGGATAACCTTTGTCAATACCTACCTAATCAGGACGGGTTTCAGTCCGCAGTTTCGAAAATGGACTAAGGCGATGTACGCTAAGGCCACGGCCAGGGTCCTGGTAAATGGTAAACAGTCATATGATTTCCCTCTGACTCGTTCATTGCGCCAAGGTTGTCCCTTAGCCCCCCTTATCTTTGTGATCCAACTTGAAACATTGTTGGACAATATAAGGAACAACCTTCGAATAGAGGGCCTCCGCCTATCACCATCCTTCCAATGGAAGGGAGGTGCCATAGCGGACGAACTCACAGTGGCCTGTAGGAACACGCCTAGCTGTCTCACCGAACTCCATAGTGTAATAGATAATTATTGTGTATTATCGGAAACCTCCATAAATTGGGATAAGTCTGTTTATTTCTTACCGCCCTCCCTTGAGCTGTGCGTGGACTGGGGACTCTGACAGGTCCCTAATGCTTCTGATAGGTTTTTGGGTGTTCAAGTATCCTTGTCTAATTGCTCCAGAGTACAGGATAATATCTTGATAGACAAGGTTATATCAAGGATCGTTGGCTGGGAGCGGAGGACCCATCTCTCTCTTTTCAGGCGGGCGCTGGTTCTTTCTTCGTCAGCCTTCTCACTTTTATGGTTCCCTCTGTGTATCCACTACCTTGGAGACGAAGCGTACAAGCAAATCAGAAGAGCAGCAGACAGATATCTTTGGAAACCGGATGCCACCTCAGATCAAGGCTTCATATCCAAAGTCGCTTGGGAGGTAGTAGCCACTCCTAGAAAAAAAAGGGATCTGGGTCTTCTAGATCCCAGACAACAGAATGTCGCTCTGCTGGTTAAATGGCCTGTTCAAGCAATGCTGGAGGCAGGGTCGAAGCTTTGGATGTACATGGCTGAATACATTCTCGGCAAAGAGTGGGAACTCCGAGATCATACAAGGGTATGGCAATGCATTCTGCTGCCCTCTTTCAGTAACTGGAGACCGAGATCCCCAGTCTGGAGATGGATACTGGGCGCATGGAACAAGATAAGACCACACAAGTGGCAGCCTCCCTCCACGAAAGGCGAAGTTTTCAATCAAGTACTGTTTGACAATCCACATATTTTGCAGACAGATGGTACTCCACTCTCGGCAGCCGAAGCAGCAGGCAACTTTGTTACCTCCTGGATCAAACAAAGGCATACTTCAAGTAAGAGACATATGGGACCACAGTAAACAGACTTGAACATCAGCCACACAGCTCAGGCGCAAGGTCTCGAGACTCCACAGAGTTGCAGAGCATTTGGAGACTTTAATACAGGTCATGCCTCATCATTGGCATGGCCTGCTACAGAGGGACTCAGAAAATGCAGAAGGCACCTGGCTTCGTGCAGCAGGCGACCCTAACCGCATCTATTCGGTCGTGGGCCCGGACCTGGCATCTAGTTTGTGAGTTCAGAAATGGCGACAACTTGGGACTACTGGGTATGATGGACGTATGAGGCTTGAGGAGGAAGATATTCATTTAGAAACCTCCAGGGGTCTGACAGAGGTTCGGGTCTTTCTACAAGAATTAGGGCACAACAACAAGAAAACAACGATTTTGGGGAGAGATGCTGCTTCCTACAAAGTGAAACCCTTGCAGACAGGCTGGACAACCCAAGACTCTTTATCGCCTAGCTCGTCTGCTTTGTCTTTCCTCCCACTGATGCAGTATCGCACCAAAGTTGGAGTCCAAATACAACAAGCACAGCTGAGTAGGACCCCTGAAGCACTAGCGGTCAGTCGAGCTCGGACCCACTCTCTCGAAGGGGTTTCGGAACATAAACTCAGACACCTCTGGAAAGGGCTTACTGTAACCCCAGTACAGAAGCATGCCAGTATAATGTCTAACTGCCACGGCAATCTGGCTATCCACTAAGGGAACGGATGTTCCCACCACCTGTCTGAGATGCAACTGGGGGTGGGAGAACATGGCTCATCTGTGGATTCTCTGCCCATTAGCAGATGAACTTCTTATGTAGTAGAAAAGGCACTGGCACCACATTTCGGTAGGCGCATTTGATTGGTCAGATCTGTGGATGTTATCAGGCCTCCTCCCTTCAAGACTTAGCTACTCCTTGGAACTAGGCTACCTAGCCCTTGCATGTAGAGGGGTAATCATGGACGCCATCTGGACAGCGAGAAATGCACGAGTCTTCCGCAGCGAAACACTACCTACCTGTCAACAACAGAGACTCATCAAGAAGAATATCAGGCTGATAATGAGAGTTGACTGGCAAAATAAAAATCTAATCTGGTTCCAGAGAACCTGGGCTAGAGGTTACGAATTGACCACAGTGAACCAGAAAGGTAGAATGATCATCTGTAAATGGCTCTCGGACACGTGTGACTAAGCAGAGGGATACAACAGTGGTCTTCTCCTTGAAAGGGTTCAAAATAGCGGCACTTAATCTCAGTCTGAGAGTATAGAGTCAAGGCAAGAGACCAACCGGCTAAGATGTTAGCAGGCTAGTTGCCCTGCACCTTTTTTTCTGAGCTTCAAGAGATTTTTTGAGAGTAGTAGTAATCTTAACAGAGTAGCTGGGACCCTGGACCCGGTTTCCAGGAGGTTTCATTTTGTGGGTTGGTCCCCAGCAGGTTCCATCCGGGTTGAATTGTGAGGTCCCGGGCCTCATTGATTACTCTGTTTTGGAAATATAAATCTGGTATCTTCTCAAAAAAAAAAAAAAAAAAAGTTGAGCATTTTTTGGAGTGCACCTGGAGTCTGGGCGGACAACAACGTGCTGGCCGTGTCGTGTAGCTCTCTCATAGAGTTCAGACCGAGAGGCCTTCTTGAGTTTGCCCTTCTAGAGTAAGTGGAGCCATGTTCTCTTTTTCAGTCGTTTCTAGAGTCTGACAACTCTAGACTCACTCTCGAAAATCTTCGAGAGTCTAGAGTAGTGGAGCGAGACCCTATACTGGTGGTCTGCTCCAACCTCTTCCACATGTGACACGGTCATCCTCCTCGTTGAAGCATTGGTCCTCAACGACTCCACAATGTCCACACACATTGTAGGAGCCATTCGAGTTGCTTGCAGGGGCCCTTGAATTGATGTGAAGGGGGAACTTTGGTCTCTCTCTCTCTCTCTCTCTCTCTCTCTCTTTCTCTCTCTCTCTCTCTCTCTCTCTCTCTCTCTCTTTCTCTCTCTCTTTTGGGGGCACGTATATATGTTTTTTTTGTTTTTGTTTTCCGTGCACCTTGCGCACCGCCTGCAGCGCTGGCACCGCACAGCGCACAGTGCGCTCGTTGCCATTACAGCGCACTGCGCACTGTGCACCGGCCTGTACCGCACTGCACGCTGATGCGATGCAACTATGCTAAAAACCGGTTGTTCTCCCTCCATGCAAGCAGGGATAGGAGGTAATTTATCACTCTCTCTCCCTGTGCACCAAATATCCAGAGAGTCTTCCTTGTCACCCATGACGAGTCCTGTATGATAAAAACCCATTGTTCTCCCTCCATGCAGGCAGGGATAGGAGGAGGTAATGTGTACTCTCTCTCCCTGTGCACCAGGTATCCAGAGAGTCTTCCTTGTCGCCCATAACGAGTCCTCAGATACAGGTTGGGTCTCAGGAAGATGCTTCGGTACCAGGAGAGCCGGCAGGGGAATTGTTCATTCAACAAAAGACGCTCGAGGCCACATGGACTGTTGTTTCCATGAATATTGCAAAGTCTCCAGACTTACAGGGGGGAGGAGAAAGAGGAGGACGAGGGGGGAGGGGGGATGGAAGGGGAGGTAGGAGAAGGGGGGAACGAGGGGAACAAGGGAAACGAGGGGGAAGAGGAGGAAGAGGGGGAAGGGACGGAGGAGGAGGCAGAGGGGAGAGCGAGGAAAGGGATGGGGGAGAAAGAGGAGGAGATAATGGAGCAATAGGTGCAGGAGGGGATCACTGTGAAAGGGAAGGCGTTGAAGAAGCAGGAAAAGGGGTAGAGGATAAGGAAGAAGAGAATGCATGTAGGGATGGGGGAGAAAGAGGAAGAGATAAGGGAGCAATAGGTGCAGGAGGGGAACACTGTGAAATGGAAGGCGCTGAAGAACCAAGAAAGAGGACAGAGGATAAGGAAGAACAAAATGCAGGCGATATTGTTATGCCAGACGCGTTGATACCAGGGTCACGACTTCTCACCTCCGTCACCAGGGCCTATGGTCAGTCCATGTATTCTGGCCTCTTTTCTTGGCTCCAGAAAGTGAAAAGCCATTTCAGGATCGAACTCTAGAAGTCAAGAGCCCGGAGCCACAGACACTATCCCTTCACATCCCTCTTAAACCACCAGTACATCCGAAAAAGCAGATTGAGCCTCTCCTAAAAATCCAGAGGTCATGGATCGTAGATAAAATGAATCAGGTTCGTAGCCTCCTATTTTTTAGGAGAGGCTCAATCTCCTTTTCTAGATGTACTGGTGGTTTAATGGCTCGTGCTTTTTTTCTTTCTAAATTTATTTGTCCTTCATAGAGCTGAGTTGTAAGCTCTGGAGGGAAAAAAATTATGGTCAAAACCTATCCTACTCAGAAGTTGGCAGAAAGGGATAGAATCTAGCAAATGCACCTACAAATCTATGAATGATAAAAAATAAAATGGATAGGTAAGTGGCTTTTTCTTTTCTACGGGAGTCAGGAAGCGGCGAGCGATGATTTTTCAATTCAACCTGTCTCAGCAACCGTCTTCATTGTTTATGTCAGTGAAAGGCATTCCACGATGCAGAACCCCAATTCGAATCTTAGGGTCAAAATCCCCAGGCCGAGAGAGGCCAGGCGGCCAGTTTCAGAAAGGTTACCTCGGGTACCCCAGGATTCAAGTCCAAGAGGCACCCGGTCAAAAGTCACATCCGGTAGGCAAAAGTCACGTCTCACAGTCTGAGGTCATATCCCACAGGCAAGGGTCACGACCCAGAGTCAAAGGTCACATCCCACAGACCCAAAAGCAGCAGCACACAAAGGAAATTGAGGGAGGTACCGGGCCTCAACATTCTGAAGCAAGCAGGCCGTGGGCGGACGGTCCAAGTCAAGCCAAGAGAAGCAGAATCTGGGACGAGTCGTGGCTCCGTCCAAGTCAATATAAGGACTGGCCAGCCACATTCCGGACAGATGGCTCATTCGTGTGGATATAGACTGGGCGGCGAAGTTCAGGTATCATACAAAGATGTAAGAAAAGACAGAGCAGGAAAATAATACAATCACCATTAAAATGGCATCCGCTGCCGATGATGAGGAAAGGGTTCTGTTGATGGAGGAACGAAGGAGCACCCTTGACCAGCGGCTGCTCGCTCAGAAGAGGAGAGAGTATAACGAGAATAAAATATTAAAAGAAGAAGGGGAAAGGCTTCAGGCCTTGCTGAGGGAGCAGAAAAACAAAGAAGTGGATGTTAAAGATAGTTTGAACCTCGTCATTGAGACGTTACACACCGCTCAGGAGCTCACTGCATTGCAAAAGTCTCTAGGGAAAGTTGAGCGGCATCATCAGGAGTTCCAGGGCACATGGAACAATTACCTCAATGCCTCCTCCCACATGGTCGATTAAGTGATCCATGAATACGCCTATCCGTTAAACGGCCATTTCACCCAGCAGTTGAAGAACACCATCACGTCCTTAGCCTTAGGTGGAGAGGGGGGGGGGGGGTGATGTTGGAGATGATGGTGACAATGACAAGAAAGGAAAGGGTCCTAGGAAGGAGGAAGGAAAGAGAGGTGATGGAGTGAGGTCTAAGGGAGGCGAACATAGGGAGAAGATGAAGGTAAAGCTTTCTGGGACGTACTCAGGGAAAAGGGAAGATAGTCTTTTTCATTGGGAGACACCAATGAACACTTACCTGTATGCGAAGAAGGGAAGATAGTCTGTTTCATTGGGAGACAGCAATGAACACTTACCTGTATGCGAAGTTAATTTCGTATTGGGACCAAGTACTCATGACAAGTTCATGCCTAGGAGGAGACGCAACCAGCTTTGCCATTTCGTTAGTCAAAGGGGCCGGTTGTTCCTTGATGGTGGAGTACTCTCAGCGAACAAGGATTGAGGACTTCTTCAAGGCCTTGAGAGATCGCTTTGAGGATAAAAACTTAGTGCGTCGAACAAAACACCTCATCCTTTATATTACTTACCGTAAGTGGAAGAGTGCATGGGCACTCAAGGCCATTCTCACGAACTGCTGCAATGTCCAGATCATGGACTAATCCCCACCCTGATACTGAACAACTTTGCTAGGGTGCTGCCTGAGCCCCAGGGTTGTCACGCGGGGATCCCCGGGGGCCGAGCCGGGGTTGAGGTTTGACCCTCGGACCCCCGGTGTGGGGATCCCTGACCCTCACCCCCGCCCATTGACCACCGACCATGCCCCAACCCGTGCACCCCCACCCCGGCTCCCACACTGCCACCTCTGCCACCACAGGACCCCGGCGCCCGCGAACCGCGACTCGGTGGTCGGGAAGCCGGCTACATGCGAGGCCTCAGTGGTACACTGCACCGTGGCTAGCTGGGTGGGGCTGGCCGGGCAGGGCCGGGGGGGGACTGAGATCGGCGCTGACGAGAAATGTCGGCGTAGTACCGATCGAGGGCGGTGTGGTATGGACACCGTGAGGAGGTGTGTCCATCCTGGCGGCAATGAAGGCAGCCGCGTCGGGCCTCGAGGGCGGCACGCTCCTCGGGAGATAGAGCTCCTCGAGGAGAGACAAAACCCTGCGGGAGGTCTATCTGAGGAACTGTGGGTGTACGAGCGCCAGCCTGTGCAACCCGCCCCCAAGGTTTGCCTTCGACTATCCTCGAGTGTGTTGGGTAGCCAAAGGGGCGAACCGCGACTCAGTGGTCGGGAAGTCGGCTACATGCGAGGCCTCAGTGGTACACTGCACCGTGGCTAGCTGGGTGGGGCTGGCCGGGTGGGGCCGGGGGGGGACTGAGATCGGCGCTGACGAGAAATGTCAGCGTAGTACCGATCGAGGGCGGTGTGGTATGGACACCGTGAGGAGGTGTGTCCATCCTGATGACAACGAAGGCAGCCGCATTGGGCCTCGAGGGCGGCACGCTCCTCGGGAGATAGAGCTCCGCGAGGAGGGACAAAACCTTGCGGGAGGTCTATCTGAGGAACTGTAGGTGTACAAGTGCCAGCCTGTGCAACTCGACTGCGCGCACGACCCATGGTAGACATGGCCATCTGCAGGCGCTCGGCCATTGGGACAGTGTCGTCATCCAAGTGGTACTGGATGACGTTCCGAAGCTCGATGTCCTCGGGGGCGTCCCCAATGGTAGGATCGAGCTCGGCTGAGGCATCCTCTCCATACCCGAGAGAACTGTAGTGCCGAGCGAATGGCGCTCTAGGTCGAGCCAGGCGACGAAAACGACCAGCAATCGAGGAGCGGCCTCGGGTGGTACCTCGAGACTGGGAGGTGGCGGTTGGCCGCGAAGAGGATGGGGCGACGGAGAAGCGATTGCACATCCTCTAGTACTGACGCGCAGCCTCGTATGCCTGCTCCTCGGAAGAGAATGATCGCCTCCATAGCTCTAGGCGGTAGTCAGTCGGCAGGCTGACAAGGAACCGGTCGGTGAGTGTGACCTCCGATAGGAACGTCTCGTTACAAACAAGGCGAGCGTCCTGACACACCCGGATGTGATGCTCCAGGTCGGCCGGTACAGAGGACCCGGACCATCTGGTCTGGGTGACGTGGTCTAAGGCGTCGGTGGCGTCATGACGAGCGCTGAAACGGTCCTGAAGGAAAGCCGCAAAGTCTGTCAGAGTGGGGACCTCACCCACGCGAAGGCGCTGGGTATAATGATCCTCCCATGCTTGGGAAGGGCTGCCTCACAACTTGGTTGCGAGCACATCGCACCACAACTCCTGACGGGTGGTCGTCATAGAGAGTGTACGTGTTGCTATCTGCAACCAGCGAGAGACACGGGAAGTGCCATCATACTCAGGAATGTCCGTGGTGCGCACAGGGGGATGTCCACTGTGCTGATGGCGGGGGGAGAGAGATCGAGGCGAGTGCACTGCGGCGGCGTAAGTCGAGGCCGCTGCTGGGGCGAAGGTGGGGGAAGGCTGTGGGCCGTGGCCGCTGGCGGATGGACCAGCAGACGAGGAGGCAACGACCGCGGGCAGCTGTCCCGGAATAGCCAGGTAGGAGGGAAGAGGCTGAGGAGTAGGTCGAGGGAAACGAGCCTGCATCATGGGGACCGAAGGGGTGGTAGAGGAAGAAGGGTGGGCAACCTGTGATGGGTGAGGCTGTCTCAGAGCGAGAATCTCCGCCTGAGCCTGTGCAATGGCGGCCTGTAAAGTGGTCACTCGCTGGGTGAGCGGGGTCGGAGGTGGAGGGGGCGGAGTGGGTCTCCCAGTGGGAGGAGGAATCCCAGCCTAGGCGGTACCCTGCTGTGGGGGCGGGGGGCCAAAGGCAGGAAGAAGAGGGCGAAGTCGTATTGCCGCGACCGGTGCGGGAAGCTGGGAAGCAACACCGGTGTGGGTCGATGAAACTGCTGGGCCAGAAGGCGGTACCTGGACCGCAGCACCTACGGCAGTAGTAGAGACGGTAGGGGTGGCAGTGGCCGGGAGAACTGCCGCAACAGATGGGGTGGTCTAAGCGGCAGCAGTACTCGCCACTGCTGCGGGGGAGTGTTGGGCCTGGCCCGCAGAGGAGGGGGAACCACGATGTCTCCGACTCTGGAGTCGTGGGGAGCCGGACTCGGAGCCGGTAGGGGATGGGGTATGGGAGCGGTGGAGAGAGTGATGAGGAGAGCCCTTGAGGCGGTTGACGTCAAGGGCAAGCGCATTGATTTGCGCTTGCAATGGTCTAAGCGTACTAAGTTGCGCCTGGATCGCTACGAGGGTGGCATGAAGGTCCATCGTGTCCGCATGGGCCTGACCCTGACCCGCTGGCTGAACGCTCACCTGGGAGGTGGACGGCGCCGCGGTGATCTCCTCAAAGGAACTCCCTTCCATGGCCGGAAGGGAAAGGGAGGTAGAGCTCACGGGGGTGTGTGGGGAGAGGGGTTCGCCGGTAAGAGGAAGGGGACCGCGGGAGCGGAGTGAGTATGTGTGAGTCGGCTCACCCCGGATTTGGCGGGTCGCGTGTGAGAAGAACGCGCCAAACCGCTCGAGGGGGGAGGAGCCGTTCGGGTCCAGGGTGCCTGACGGGAGGAGGCGGGAGAGTAGGGGGTGTAGAAGAAC